TGATATAACAAAAATTGCGATTGGTGCTAGAAGTTGTCTACACATAGGTTTACTAGGCCAAATTAACATAATTTTTTGGGAATAAAATAGTTTCACTTTATTAAGATGAATGTTGGCTTCGGTGTTCAAATAATAAAATACCGAATCAAACCGCATAATTTTTGCTATTAAACCAAGCATACTTTTGAAATTTGAGTTTTCAAGTATGCATGGTTTAATTACAAAGTGGTCACCAATACCCGAATCAAAAACTTCATAATTATACAACAGCAATGCACGAGCATTACGTCATTAACACACCTTTGAAAGAGAGAAATGATTTTTTTTTAGTGTTTATTAATTATGTCAAACTTTAAAAGGACTTTCTCTCTCTTTTATTTTTCTAGAACAAAAACTCTCTAGAAACAAACACTTTCCGATTGGATCTGAGTTACAGGCCGACGGGTGTGGGCCACAACGTCGGTCCGAATTATGTCTATATCTAGTTTTTGTTTATAGTTTTAAGGGTTTAGATCTGAATTTTCCGTTAATCGGATCCTTTTTCCGACTTGGTTCGGATTTGCGGTTTTCGACTTTGATCGGATTAAATAATTTCCGGCTTGACCGGATTGTGCTTTTGTAATCTTCCATGGAATTTGGTTTTCAGAAAAGATTCGTGCTGCGATTCAGAATCTCTCTCTTCTTCATTTGGTATCAGTCCTTCATGGCTGGGAGTTATCTCCCCTAAATCCCCATCTAGAAGCCTTAAGCTAAGGCAGAGGGCGATGTGGTCATGCTAAGAGATGATCGGTGGTGGTTTCTAAGGAGGTGAGAAGTTTTCTGGATTATGCTTTGCGTGGGTCATTAATATGGAGGAGTTACGTAAAGGAAATCCGATGGCCTTGAAGTCGGAATTCATGGAGTTCTCGGCTTGACGGTGGCGCATGGTGAGGTTACGGTGGAGATATCGTCGTTGTTATCTCGTGTCGGCTAACTTAGTTGCCACGTGTGTACACGTGTTGTTCTCATGTGCATCATTATCTTTTATTTATGAGTTTTAGCGATTAGTTTATTAAACTGGGTTGTAATGGGCTGGAATTTTCTTTGTAATGGACTAATGGCCGTTTATCAAATATAAAAGTTGACGACAAAAAAAAACAGATGTACGAACCATAAATCACACAATTTGAAAGGCTAGATGAAATGCCACGTTGGCAATCCGCGTGATTTCATCTCCAACCAATCAGAGTTAATCATTCCAGCCTATATATACAGATCTCGCAAAACCCTAAAGCCACTCAACTTCTCCATTCCCAGAAAATCACTCTCTCGCTACACTCTGCAAAATTTTCTTCAATCAGTTTTTTTTTTCAGTTTCCTTCGAAGAAGACGATGAGTACAGGAGCAGGAACCGGAACGACCAAAGGTGGTAGAGGAAAGCCCAAGGCCACCAAATCCGTCACTCGTTCTTCTAAAGCCGGACTTCAATTCCCCGTCGGAAGAATCGCCAGATTCCTCAAAGCCGGTAAATACGCAGAACGTGTCGGTGCCGGAGCTCCGGTCTATCTCTCCGCCGTTCTCGAGTACCTCGCCGCTGAGGTAAACTCTTAATTCACTTTTTGGATTCCAATCAGATTCATTTTGAAATACCTAGATCTGAAATTGATGTTCGATTTTTGATTTTCGATTAGGTTTTGGAGCTTGCTGGAAATGCAGCGAGGGATAACAAGAAGACACGTATAGTACCGAGGCACATTCAGCTTGCAGTGAGAAACGATGAAGAACTGAGTAAGCTTCTGGGAAGTGTGACGATTGCTAATGGTGGAGTTTTGCCAAACATTCATCAGATTCTCTTACCTTCGAAGGTTGGGAAGAACAAAGGAGATATTGGATCTGCTTCTCAGGAGTTTTAAGTTTCTCTTTCAGTTTTTGAATGTAAAATAGACCCCTCAAGGTTTTTCTGGGGATCAAATTCTGTTCTAAGGGCAAAGTAGCCATAAATCTTTGGGAAGAATATATGTTTTATGATGATGATATAATATATTCGGAATAATATGATTTTAGAGTAATACTCCCATTGCAGATCTTTTTCTAAGCCCCCCCCGTTGGATGGAACATAATTTTAAAATTGCAGTTAGCATTTAACTAATTTCAGATTAATACGATTGCAGATCCTTTTACAATTGCTTGATGTACATATAACAAAATTTATTGATACACAAAATGTAAATCTTAGTAACGAGGGAAAGTCGATACAGAAAAATACTTGTTGATAAACTTATCAGATTTGAGTAATTAGATTAAATAAAATACAATGCTTAACAGGATCGGGGATGTAGCTCAAATGGTAGAGCGCTCGCTTTGCATGCGAGAGGCACGGGGTTCGATCCCCCGCATCTCCAAAATGTTGTGTTTTTTTTTTTGTTTCAAACTCTATGAACAATAATCTTACTTTAAGTCAATGACTAATCCTATTATGATGAGGGACTGAAACCAATACGCATGAAGCGAAATATGTATTTACATTTAGTAAATTCTGATATGTTTTTTTTTTCTTCTTCTAGCAAACGCTAATTTGTTTTTCCAAAACCAAGTAATTTGAGGCTGAACTATCCGGTTAACTCAAACCGCTGGAGCACCAACCGGATTAATCTTTCGGGAACGGACATAGCTCAGAAACTGGCCGGGAAGTTCTTCAAGAAGTGCCTGCACCACCGATACTTGTCCACCTGCATTCACCACATTTAACATTTACAATCCGAAAAACGCATCCAAACCTCTCTAAGCATGCCTTAATAACATCTAATTACTCACTGTGGATTTCTCTCATAGGCACAAACTGAACGATGTCTCGTGTAGCTATCCGACCAGTAGAACTCTCTAACCGGCTACCTTTATCAGCATCAAGAATCTGAAAGGCCAAGTCATATTTCAGTAAAAACCATAGGAAGAATCCTGCATGTGTTTACTGTTATTGCAATGAGTTAAAAGAGTCTAAAGAAATAAAGACTTGTACCTCCATTTGTTTGAAGTCTGCGTTTCCCACACCGACGATAAGAACTGACAACGGGAGATCAGAAGCTCTCACCAATGCGTCTAGTGTACCAGCCATGTCTGTTAGGACTCCATCCTGTTCACACAACCAAACATTTTAGACATTGAAGATAGAATGACAAATGAAAATTCGATCTGAATAGAGTCAATTTGTATCAAATGTCTCTTACCGTAATGATGAGCAGAACAAAGTACTTAGGACTGTTTGTTGAGAGCGACTGTGAAGCGATATGAGCAGCCCTGTCGACCACGTGGCTGAATAGAGTTGGTCCAGCTAGAGCAACATTGCGAAGAGCATTCCCATAAGCTGCCATGATTCCTTCAATTCCAACAACCTGAGATGGAAAAAATAATGTGAAGCTTCACAAGTCATTTCGAGGATTCGATTTTTCATGGTTCTGAAATAAGAATAGAGGCATCATCTATTTATAACAATATACACCAGCACGTGCATAATCAGTTTTGTCTCGTAAGTTACCTCGTCACCGTATGAGGCTCCATTCAAGTTAAAAGCATGGGAAACTTGACCATCTGAGGTTCTTCCTCCAAAACCCCAAGCAGGAAAACGCCTATCAGAATCATAAAACTGGATGACCTCTCCTACTTCCGTAATAGCCTGGATAAGAAACCATGTTTATAAATACGATAGATCACGAAGAACACAGAAAGAGAAACAGTAATGAGATATGGCGAAATCCGATTCCATACAAAAGAATTGCATGGGAAACAATGGTACCTGCTGATATGAGTTTAATCTGCCTGATGGATCAATGTAATGCAAAGAACTTGAATTTCGGGGATCACCATTCGAAGCTGAAAAGACAGACAATCAATCTTAAAACTCAAGGTTTATTAGATGATAAGATATAAATGAAGTAGAAGAAGGTGAATCACCAGTGAAGTCAACTGCAACCATGAAATTAAGTTCAAAGCCGCTTGATATGTAATCAAGAAAACTGTACTGGACTTTCTCCTCAAAACGATCCACGATGAGCTTGCCTTTAAGAACCTACAAAATACCAATAGAATCTTCAAGAAAACAGATACAAATAACTGTCTTAAGATTTTACTCAAGTGGTATGACTACGCACCTTATTGTCGTGAACCATGGATGGATAGACAAAGTTTGCAACCTCTCTTTGGAGACAAAGTCTCTGCAATTCAGCTACAGATTTCTCTGTCTTTCTGCGAGGTTCAGTACAATTTTCAGTAACAAAAGAGACAATAGAAGGTGAGACCATGAAGAAAAGTAAAAGGTTGAAGGTTAACATGTTACCCAATAAGCTCATGATTCCCACTGCTATTGAAATCAAAGCATTCTATAACCAAAGGGGTTTCCTGCAGAGACAAAACAAATGATTTAAGAGAATGATTACTTCAAATATGATTAAATTACAATATATAAAACTAGCTTACTTTGCTTCCGAATTGCTGCATAGTCAAGCATACAGGTCTATACACGGGGTTGAGGTTGTTGTCCACTACCTCAGTCCGACATATCGGGACTGCACCACTATTCTCAACTATTCTTGAAATTCTTATGAAAGGATCCTAAAAGAGAAAATAAAACGAGAAGTTGGAACTTATGAAAGAAATCTTAAAATCATTATTGAACAAGACAAGAATGCTTAAGTTTGCACGTACACTCTTAGAGAACAAGTCCTTGTTATCCAAATTGATACAGCGAAAATTCATCTCGACGACAGTTTTAGAGGCAATGGTTTCTTCAGCTTGAACTAAGAGTGTTCCCAAACGTCTATTCACACCAGCTCCAAAATTGCCAGTAAGATGTAATGTCACAGACCGGTTAGGCCTCGTCATAATCTGATGAATGGCATTGGAAAATATCAGATATGTTGTACACATAACAGACACCAATTACAAAACAACAGTAAAACCCATGAAGTACCTCGGATAGAACACATGTCGCTTCTCCCAAGAAATCCTGGTCCTTCAGCTTTAATGTCTGCAGAGTGACACAGTTTGTTGAAACAATATTTGAGGTGTAACTTTAACTATCAAAATGCAAGCTTCTTTATCAATGTATTTTACTATATCGATGAAAATATTACCTTCACCGGCACATTGTGATATCTGGTATCGACATCATACACATGAAAACTGAAAAGAAAAAAAGAATCATATAAGTTCACAGTCTTGCATTGGTTAAACATGTGTAACTCATCAGAAAGGAATTGCTCAGAGTAGCATACACTAATGTCTGAACAGCTTCAAACTGGAAAGAGACTGTTATCTTCTCAATCCACTTTGGATTCAAATTGTTAAGTATGACTTCAGTACGGCCAATTTCCTCAAGCTTCCCATCCTTTTTCCTCAAATACATGACAGCCATCGGATCGCTCTACAATAAATCAAAAATTCATCAACTTCACATGTAACACCAACACCACTTCTTAATGAACAACGAAGGACACAAATCTATGAGAGATGGTTCAACAAGAAGAAAGGATGATTTGTGAATTCCCCGCAAGGTATAAAATAGTTCTCAAACGAGCATAGGACAATATCCAAAAAGTTTAAACTTAGTAGTAGTAGCAGACAGGACTCAATTCTCCAGTACACGGAAAGAATAGTTCTGAAAAAAAAAAGATTAATAAGTGGTCAGGGCCTACCTTAGATGTGATGTCACGGTCAATCAAGTTTGAACCCGACAAAGATAACTGCAAAACGCAATTAAATAACGTTAAACACAACTCAAAGGCAAACAAAAGAATTAAGATTATTTTCATGAATATGAAAATGCAAAAGAAATTGCTATTAGCCATCTTCTTCGTGCACCATCATCATTGCTCAAAGTTATCATCAATCATAAAACGATCACTTTAAGCCAATAGCAACATGTTCTTCTTTTCTTTGTGTTCCATTTATTTGCAATTTTACAACAGACCAACCAAAATCGAATATATTTTAATTCAAGTCATTGCAATTTCAGAGCACTTTCTAAGTAATTAGGTTTATATAACAAAGAACCCATTGTATACTTTTCTACACATAAAGAAAAGTCTATACACTCTATAACCTTAAACCCCACATGGATAAAGACTGAACACAAGTCAACGTGTTGGCTCCATTAGAAAAAGTACAAACATGTTGTAGTAGTAGAATATCTTATCTTATCCACAATTCTTAAGATAATCCCAACCAGTAATCGAGGAAATA